CGGTCGATGATCGATATGAATTTAAAGCCTGACAATTCTCCGTCGCGACTCAGTATTCGTTTGACAGTTTTCCAGCATGTCACTCACGCTTACGTTGACCGGCAAGAGTAGCGCTCTTGCTGTAAGCTACTTTCCGGCTATAGATTTAAACGATGGCGATTACGAGCTTGGTTTAACGGACTTTGAAATTTATCATACGGTATCGAACGTGAATTCTTGGAATAATAAATTTTATTTTGATTTAATTTTATTTTAACGACGATAAGGAAATTACGATTCCCGAGGAATCGTACGAATTACACGCTATAAACGAATATCTCCGACGTGCAATTTTACGACATCGACGCGTAGTTGATTCCAACGATATTGTTGATGATGAAGAACACGATGAATATCCAATAATGCTTCGCGCTAATCATAATACGCTAAAGAGTGAAATCAAATGTGTCTTTAGAATAAATTTTAGTAAACCGGGCAACGTTGGATCGTTGTTGGGATTCTCGTCGAATCGTATATTACAGCCTCGGAAGTGGCACGAATCGGATGTACCGATAAATATTATTAGCGTAAATATTATTCGTATAGAATGCAGCGTAACCACTGGCGCGTACAGCAATGACAAGCGCGTACACACGATACATGAATTTTCACCGAGCGTGCCGCCAGGATATAAGATTTTGGAAACGCCAGTACAGATCATTTATCTACCGATCGTCGCACGGAGCATTACTGATTTAACGATACGCATTGTTGATCAAGAAGGACATTTGCTCGATTTTCGAGGAGAGGAAATTACCGTAAGATTGCATATACGGCGGCGGCAAAAATAAAGCGTTTGACAAATGAAATGCTTGTGTTGAACGAAAGCACGTGAGAGACAATATTTTTGCGAGGGACAATATTTTTGCGAGTAGGCGAGTGACTGCGGTATCGGGTGACAATAATCAGATATCTGGTTACGCTAAAAAGAAGCTCAGCGCGTTGAATCGCGAGTTTTTAAAATCATTGGGATTCGTCGTACGAAATACTTGAAGGATATGATTGACATCTTGAATATCGGAGGCGAGCCGATCTTTGACGATCGTATCGTCAAGATTGAGACTCATATGTACAATCCATACGCCAACACAACGCTTGGATATAGTGACGAGATACGGATACCGATACAACATCATGATTTGTACACGTTACCATGTGAAAGTTTTCTATACGTCGAGGGAAAGTTGAGGGTGCGTAAAGTAGATGAAGGGGCAAGAGTGTTATTGGGAAACAATTGTGTCGCGTTTATGTTTGATGAACTTCGATATGAACTCGACGGTGTGGAGATTGACCGCAACAGAAACGTTGGAATAACTTCCACGATTAAAAACTATGTCTCTCTAACAACCGAGAAAGATAAAATCTTGGAGAATGCTTCGTGGAATATGTCGCATGATGCTGTTGAAGCTTACTTCAATTTTTGCGTGCCGCTAAACATACTTTTGGGTTTTTGCGAAGATTATAAGCGAGTTGTGATTAACGCTCGTCACAAATTAATTCTGATACGTTCGCGCAACGACAAAAATTGCATATTTTGACATGCTTCGGCTGAAGCTGATATCGAATTATTCAAGATACAATGGCGTATGCCACATGTAATATTGAGCGAGGTCAATAAATTATCCTTGCTACGCACGTTGGAAAGAGGGCGATACTTGAATATGAGTTTTCGCTCTTGGGATCTATACGAATTTCCTCTATTGCATAATACGACCAAGCATTCGTTGGCCGTGAAAGCCGCCTCTCAGCCGGAGAAGCCGCGATACGTGATTTTTGCGCTGCAGACTGGCAGAAAAAATGCTGTGTCAAAAGATATTACTACATTCGACGACTGCAAATTGACCAACGTTAAACTCTATCTAAACTCGGAATTTTATCCCTACGATGATTTGAATTTAGATTTCGATAAAAATAGATTCGCCCTCTTGTTCGATATGTACTCTCGTTTTCGCAAATCTTATTACGGATGTGATAATGATGATGTGCTATTAAACATTTCAAAATTTTTACATTGCGGTCCTCTCGCGGTTATCGAGTGTTCGCGACAAAACGAGGCTGTCAAAAATTTTACCGTGGACGTGAGATTAGAGTTTGAGTGCAAGGAGGATATACCGGCAAATACCACCGCCTATTGTCTCATCCTTGCCGAAAATGATTGATTGAGAAGTGGATTTGTTCTTTCTCACTACTTTTTTGCAAGTCCGGTACCATGGCGTGCGCTTACAAAATCTGAGAATGTCAAGCTTCATGGCTAATCGGACATCACCATGGGCTTCAATGGGAGGATGGAAACGTTCCATACAGCTTCGCTAGGCGTTTGATTACGAGAGCTGTGGTGGGTGCGACGGAAGAAAAAGATGGAGCATCTCCTATCGTGTACGTTAAAGGACACGAAAAACGAGAATGGCTGGCCGATATACTTGACGATGATGCAAGAAACGACGTTATTATTGAGACTTTGGATGCGGACTATGAAGATATCACTTCGTTAAATAAGCTAGATGTTACTAATACTATGCGCTGTGAAAAACATTTGAAAAATTGCGCTTTACAAAATGTATTTGAAATATTCAATTGGTGGACGAATCATCATAAAGATTCACCCAAATATTTTTTAGAATAAATTATTGTTAAAATATATTTTTATTCTCTTTTATTCTTCCCTTTTCCTCTTTCTTATCCCAATATATGAGTATTAAATTTTAGTACGCTTCTTATCATGTGCAGAAGGTAAGCGTTCTTTGTAACTGATACATCCCCTACTCTAAAATGTTTAATCGAGACAATGTCTGCCCTGTCGTGGCTGTCATAACGTTTCGAGCAGTGAGTGATGAAAAGTTTAAATGAAAATATTCAAAATGCCGTCACTAGTAGACTTGATATTGCAACGGGGCCGATCAAACGCGTCGTGGTGGGCTCACGATCTGGTGATGGGGCTGTTGAGAGCCCTATTGAATCTAGTAGTATACCAGAGAGTAAGTAGCATTTTTTATTTTATGTTACATTTACTATGTATAGTATATTATAATATATTATAATTTTGATTTATAGTACGACTTTACTCGTGAGATCCGGATTCCCGGTTTCATTAATATAGAACATCGACAAATTATTCTTATTATTTTTTACACACACACACACACACACATTTAAACGAACACATAAATTGTGAATAAATATTATTGTTATTATTATATTTAAAAAAATGTCAATTATTTCTGCACCTTCTTCTTTTCTTTTCCCACACGCGTGCATGTCTCGCATTATCTCTCTCTCGCACCGCCTTGCGAACGCCGTATCATCCACGTGCATGCTTCGCGCTATCTCTTTCTCCCAAGTGCATGCTTCGCGCTATCTCTCTTCTAAGTGCATCTTATATCAATAATCTTAAAAAAATTTCTTATCGGTTTCTTATTGAGAAATGAGATCTTGTACTTTTAAGAGAAAGAGCGAGAGAGAGACAGAGAGAGAGAGAGACAAAGAGAGAGAGAGAGAGAGAGAAAGCGCGTGAAAGCAATATCGAATCAATGTAGAATCGATTCTTTTCAATGAAATTATCGTCAATAACTTTTAACTTAAAAAATATATTTTGATATTTTTACATATTCAAATGTATTACATTATAAAGAATTATGTTGATTAAATTAATACATTAATTATATATAATCAATATATATTTTTTTAAATAATAATAATGCATTATTAAGGCTGTCTTAATCCACAAAGAATACTTAAGGTAATAATAACTTTTCAGGACTATTATTGGTTACTATTATTGGTTGGTTATTATTATTACAAGACATATATTAACGCATACATAAAATAAGGTCTAACAGGCACCTATGTCTTACATGCTATGTATTTGTTCACTCTATTATCTATTATCCTACTATTATTATCGATCATCATATAATATTTAATTGCACGTACAATTTTAACTATAATTTAAATATATATATGCACATATGTATATATGCAAATATAAAATTCTCAAAAAATGGGCGCCTGTTAGCCCTGTTGCGTTACTGCTTTCTGCCACGAGAAGCCAGAAAGCATTTTCAGGACATATCTCGACCGTAAAATGATACGTTAGAAGAACAAGGGTAGCACGCGATCGTCGCTCCTTGTCTGATATTATCTCCCAACAATCGCATCCGTGTGCTCAACATATCGGTGTGTGCCTTCACGGACGCTGCACACATACGGTGCAAGAGAGACAAAGACGACGCGATCATCTTTCCTTGTCACGCGGCTATATGTATTACCGACACTTTGTGCACATAGCACGGAACGGAACCATTATTTGTGGACATAACGTGTTACCCACTAAGTACATTCGTGCACATTGGCTACGTAGTTCAATGTCCACATTTTTTATGTCCACAGAGGGCGTATCACTTTCAGGGATCACCTAAAACCTTAGAACATATATAAATGGAAGGGGACTGCTTTTGTTTCCCGATAGAAAAACATGTCGGAAGGAAGTAAGAAGGAAAATCATAGTTGCCTCTCTCTTGTGAGTTACTCTGCTCAAAAGTGCGCATGCGCGGCCATGTGTGTGTACACAAAAGTATCTATGTCTATGGCCGGTATTCATAGTCCGTTCTTTTATTTAAGATCGTCTTAAGTACGATCTTAAGATACTATGCGGCCATTTCATTGGTTGAATGGGATCTTAAGACGACCCAAGACCACACTTAAGACGATCTTGGATATAAGAACGGACTATGAATACCGGCCTAGATATACTATGTCTATGGACACGATGCTTATATGTGTAGTTACTCCCAAGAGAGAGGCAACTACATTTTCTTTCTCACTTCCTACCGACACTTTTTAGCCTGCTATTCCCCTTCCATTTATATATGTTTTAAGCCTAAAACCGGGCCGTGTCGTCTTTGCCCACAAGTACTGTGATTACTAGTTGACCCGAGTGATCGACAGTTGTCGCTGATTACCACGCGTATGTTTGCGGAATCACGTTCGCGAGCATTCTTGTTCTTGGTTCTCGGGATTATAGCAGGCTGACAGGTCAATTCGCCTCGCCACAATTCTTTAGTTGTAGTAACATAAACGTTAAAAGGCCTTGTGACAGTTCGTCGCAATGATGCGCGAACCATTTCGAACAGACGGTCCGGTACAATAATGACGAATGATGCGAATCGACGTGTCTGCGGATCGAAATATGCAAGGTAAATACGTAAGGTGTATGTACGATCAATAAATTATTCTTGCGGAGAAAATATGCGTGCACCAGGCCGTAACAAATTTGGCCTGTCTAATCCGTGATTGATTTCGAGTGTGATTTTAGTACGTTTGCAGTGCTCATTATTGATATATCGTCGCGATGTCATAAAAAGTTTGACACGCATTGCACATTCTTGGATATTTATTGAAATTCGTCGTTTCTTATGACAAAAGGGGTTAGCGCTAAAATCCGGCCTTCTATATTTCGCGATCATCAAAATCGGGGGAGTAGTTTGAGATTAAAACCGAGAGAACAGTCTCGATATTGTAGAATACTTTACTCATTTACATATACAGAGTTCAATTATATAAAAAGTCTAATTTTTTCGATATTTTTGGATATATCCGATATATAAGTTATATTTTATAAGTTATTACTTTTTTATTTTGTTATAATATTTTATGTTTTTTTGCGAGGGGACAATTTTTTTATCAAATTTTTGCTTAGTTGGAGGCGTCTCATCTTAGTTTTTTCTTAATGCAATCATATATAATTTTTTTATATAAAGTAATTCTAGAGTCTCACCCACTCACACATATTCTACATGTAAAAGATTTATTAAAGTAAGGTTTACACAGAAATGTGAAATCTTAGTTTGCATTCTATTTATTAACAATAACAAAATCATTTGTTTTGTGTGTTTAGTGCAAGTAATTAGTTGAATACAATAATTTAAATCCTGATAATAGAATCCAATTTCCAGAGGTTTAGAATGAATTTTTTTAGTAACAAATACTTGATAAAAAAGCTTTATATATTGCAGTTTATTAACATTAATCAATATTTCAAGTTTAATAATTAAACTTAAAAAAAAAAAATTTTTTTTACTTTTATTTGGAACCAGTTGAAAAATGAGATTATTCTAATGTATAATATCTTTATACTTTTTATTTATAATATTGTATAATTTTTTAAGATAGGCAAGTATGAAACAGTAAATATGCCTCATGGCTGGAGGCAGGAACGACAAGCAAAATGGAAATTTAGACAAAACGCATCAGTGGCTATGCCACAATAGTTTTGACTCTTCTGTAACACTTCAGTCCCTTCCGAGTAATGAATTCAAAAAACGGAAAAGTGTGGAACAACATCGCACTATTGTCAAAAATATCAATCAATTACAAGACAGTACTCTGAGGTAAGAAAATATTATATGTTGCACTTTTTATGTCAAGAAATTTGAACACATTAATACATTTTGTATGGCGTAATACATTATTGTGTATTTGAGATTTAGCGAAAATGTTATATATATTGTAATATATTAGTATTGTGTGAAATTATGTACAGATAAACATATGTATGTCATATTTAGTCAACATTTCTCTTGTGACATGTTTAAAATAATCTTACATATACCTTAATAAATCAATTAATTGTTGCACAATTTTATCTTTTTCATAATTGTATAGATATATTTTTCGTACTTGTATAGATGTACAATCTTTTCACTCAGCTATTTTTTTATATGTGTACAAAGTAAATTTAAATATACATTTAAAGAGAATGAACATTAAAGCTCAAAGGAACATTTATATACATACATATGTATTTGCATATAAGACTGAAGGAGAATCTTTTATTATAGAATATATACGGATTCCTTGTATTGTGATCTTAATATAATACATGGTTATAAAGTAATACGTATAAACCAATGTATCATTAGAGCAAGATCGCCTCACTTGTATGAAGTTCTCAAGCCTTATTTCATTTACACTAACAAAACCATCCATTGCATTCTTGATAAAGCCGGACTTTTTCATCAGATTGAAGGTTTTGTAAGGTATTGTTATACCATTAATTACTTGTATAGAAACAATATGATTGAGAACAAATATTTTCATGATATCTGTCTGCATGCATTTTATCTAATACAATTTGATGTTTTTGTCGAAAGTAGTATAATTAAAATACATTCTTTGCATGCATTCCTTTTACACAGTTTGTATCTGTCTATCCAATTTCAAAGTTGTATGTTTTTTAATATGTTTCTTTTTTTGAAATACACAAGGATCAAATAAATATATTGGATGATGTGCTCCTAAATCTTTGGACATTTTCTATTTTCATGATTTATAAAATGACAGGGTCACACATTTCTAAGTATTATTATTAATTGCATATATATATATATACATATGATTTGTGAACTATATTTGTATCTTGTTATTAGAAGAAAAAAAAAAGTATTATGATTAAATAATCACACATGATACTATATTATTTTCTATTGAAATACAGAACAACTTCTACAACAAATATTATAGTAAGAGATTTTGTTGCACATTAGATATAGATATATAAATTTGTTGTGCACAATTTTTTTTAAGCCACTATTATTTTAAACATATTAAACTATGTCTATTTCAACATCTGTCGATTTCTATTAATTAAGTTTCGTTATGATAATATTAAAACAGTCACATTATCATTTATTTTTGTTTAGTCCATATTACCATATTACCCATTACTTATTATTAACTTTACACATTTTTGTACAAATTGCAGACTTCTATATAGTAACTTGGACTTTACTCAAGAAGAGAAGTTGTTGGTGGAAATAATTCTGAATACAAATTACAAGTGTTGCTCTTTAAATGAGTCTGATAGCAGTATTATATCCCACATTGATGACAGGTTAGATTTATTAATAAGGTTTTTTGCTATGCTTTACAATCTAGATTTTTGATTTCTTAATTGTTTGTAAATTGAAATCTTTTTTTGTAAAATTCAAAGTTTTTATGAAAAGAAAAATTAAGATTTAACATAAAACAAGATTTAAAATTCACAAAAATTAGAATGCGATATTATGTTTTGTTGTTAAAGGCATTATGATTTTTTCTGTCATATTTCATTGATCCGTATTATGCACAGAATATGCGAGAAATGTTTGACGTCAGACTGTGACGCACAACAACATCTACAAGAAGTGAAGGAATATGTTATAGCGGATGCGAGTCCTACTGCATCAGAAATGGCTGATTCCGGTCTGGAGACAGGTTCGACAAGTCCACACGAGAATACGACTTATTCCGAGAACTCCAGCACGGATTTGGAAGTAACGCCAGCGGTCACGGAATATACTTCCGCCAATGACGATGATTCGGATCGGATACGTGCCGAGCGAATACGCGATAGAAGCGGTCGTAAGACATTCTTATGCAACGAGCATCGCGAATTACTCAATAATGACGATTTCTGCGGGAAGAATGCAACGCAATCCGAATCGAATAATCATAGCACAACGTGCTCCTCCCTGGAAACAGAGCATCCGCCCGCGGATAATACCTCGGATAACGCACGGGAGGCGAAACTGAATGCCGAAGAGATCTTCCAATATGAGAATCAGATGTTGAGCGAACCGTTCTACGAATCGGACTGCGGCAGCGATGAAAACGAGTCGTTTGAATTTATCGAGCCCGTTCCTTCGGCGAGCGGTGATCACGAAGAAAAATGCTTCGCGAAATGTAAATTGGAGGGGAAAATACAATCAGATGCGGAAGAATCAGAAAGTACGACGGTCGAAACGGAATCTGATCATTCTCGCCCTACTGATAGCGCGACTGGCCGTAACAGTTCGTCCACGAGCGGTTATTACTTCATCGATGCATCTACTCTGAACGACGAGATAGACATTGTATCTACGAATATAACAAAAAATCAGTATGCCAATAATAACTCGCCGTATTTCGCGTTTTCTTCAAATTACACGGATTTCAAGTCATCGGACAAGCCGAATAATCCCGTAGAAGAACAATCGTATAAGTTTACACCGCTTAAGACATTGACTTTGCAAACTGGTCACAAACGAGTGGCGGAGTTTGAGCGAGAGTTGAAACTCACGGAATATCTGCAACCGCTTCCAGAATCGCGTAAAGTAAAACGAGTAGATTCCGCATCGGAGGAAAAAGCGGACGGGAGCAAACCGACGGAGAAGGAATCACTGGCGGTAGAGATTAAAGAGGCGGACAGTGGAGAGAGCGCGCATCCTTCCCCCTGTCCTGACAATAACACGAGATTGAGCAACAATCGAAATGAGAAAACAGAAACGTCGAGCAATACCGAGGCGATGGAAAACGAAAACATTAGAGACGCGACTGCGAAAGAGGACAGGCGATCATCACTCATCAGAAGAAATACATTCGAGCTTGACTCTAATGATGAGAAGTTGTCCGCTTTAAGACAAGAGTACGAGCGTCGACAAGGTAATCTCATCTTTCAAAGTGCCATTCCGCAATACTCGGGACATCGCGTGGACGGAGACTCCATTTGCCACGCATCTTCCGATTCCGTAGTTTCTGTTACGGTTACCGAATCGTCAGTTACCTTTACACCCGACGTTCAGATAGCTGCTAACACTCAGCACCCTGTTACATACCATCTGTTGGATAGTTGTGAATATGATCAAAGGGAAACACCACAAAAGAGTTACTTACAATCCAACCTCAATAGACCTTGCACGATTTACCCCGTAATTAAGAGTGCCAGCGACAAATCTATCTTAAATTGCGGTACGGACTTGGACGACGCGTCCACTCATTGCAGCAACAGTTTGCCAGTTACTCTGAACTCTATTCTGGAAAAGAGTAATCAGTTAGAGCCTATAAAGAGAATTAAACGAAGCGACGAAGCTACTCCGATTATCTCTGGTGGTGTTAGCAGTTCGGACTATTCCTTCAAACCTTCGGACAGTCCCACAGTACGGCGCAAAACAGAGTCCACACCGATTGTATCAGGTGGCTCGGTGATCATGAACAAGTCTGAAGTCAAAACGCGACCCTCCAGAATGTCTTCCTCCATGACCGCCTGGGTAGTCGATATGAGCGACTGCAGTAAACAGGAATCCGGATCTCGAAACAACTCGCGGAATATGTCACAAAGCTTCTCCACTTCCGAATGTGTCAAGAAACCTGTGCAAAAACCATCAATCAATCATGAGAAACAGGGTAGTTTAGGATTCTTCGTTAATTTAAAAGACGTGAATGACATCGAACTAACTAAACGCGATCACTCGCTCGAAAGAAAGGAACGTGATGGTAATGGTAAACCTTACTGTGAATTTTACGTAGATATCTCTGATAAGAATAATGATATTAAAATCAAGCCATCCGAGAGGCGAGACGAGAATGTTAAAAACGATATTTCTAAGGAAGGTGAGAAGAAGAATATTTTTTCAATGTTTATCGATTTGAATGATACGCATGACGGGAGCGATGGAGACATCACAGTTCCGAAGCACAGACGAAGTCTCTCGACGATACCTAATAAATTGATGGATATCAAGACGGAAGATAGTAGTTTTAGGGATAACAGTAGCACCGCGGGAGATAATCAGTTATCACAAGAACAAAAGAGAGAGAAAACCAAACCCAGCGTCTTCATGTTTATAGAGTCCGATTCTCCCGTGGTGAGAAGACGAACGTTATCCACCTCGCAACACGGACAAGACGCAATCAGCGAACGGCAATGGTAACAATAACAGTTGCGTGGCAAAGGAACTTATGTTCAGAAAGGAGCACAAGCGTGCACATAGCGTGTCGATGGACGGTCGCAACATCTCGAAGCGATCCCAGGCAAAGACGAGCTCGTCCAGTCACTCGTTGAGTGACGCGGCTAAAGCGGAGTCTCGCAATCATAAAGATTCCAAGACTCTGCAGGATCGTGAGAGTAATTCCAACAATATGGATACATCGTCCGAGGACATGTTTGAGTTTGATGTAAAGGACACTCCACCTAACTCCCATGTGGAGATTGAAAACGAGGAGCAATTGCGCACTAGCGTGAACCAGTGTTGCGAATACAAAGATATAATTTCCGGTCGGACAGAAAACTTGGAAACCAACGAGACGAAAGAGTACGAGGACGAGTTCTCGGAGACCTCCGCTTGGGAAAAAACGTGTACAGAAAGCACGGAAGGACAAACTCGTAAAAGTGAGACATTCGACATCAGCAGCGGTAGTAGTGGGCCATCGCCGGACAGCGATAACCATGACTATGAATTGACCGACTTGTTGAATGGCGAAGTTTCAAATGTCAACGATAGGCCGCAAATAATAACAGCAGGAAACAATAGTAAGATATCGGAGACCCGTAAGTCGCTGAGCGAGACCATCAAGAAGATTGAGTGCGAATTGAAAGAGCCTGATTACGATAATGTGAAACGACAAATGTATGATTGTCGTCCATCGAAAAAGGACGGGAAGACGGCCGGACATAGTTTGAAGAATTTGCATTTAGATTCCGATAAGACAAGTACCTCCAGTTTCGTACGTTTGTCGGATTTGGATAAAACGCCGATCGCTAATTATAATGCATCAGATGTCTCGACGCACGTGAAAAACGATAAAGACGTACAGTATCGGATGAGCAACAGTATTCCGGAAACATCGTGGATAGAGAGCAAGCTGGCGATGACGAGGAACAGTGGTCCGTTCAGGCCGGTTTCTAGGAAACTCGCTTCTGTCATGAGCACATCGCTTCCGTCTAAGCAGAAGTCCCCGCTGGAAGATTTGACTGTGGGTGACTGCGAAGGGGAAGGAATTATTTCCGAATCCGATCTCAGCAGCATGCAAAGCAGCATGGGACGTTCCGGAGCGGGTACGTTATTGTTGAAACTTTACTAAATTGATATAAGCAGTGAAAATATACCGCGAAAATTGTAAAAATCTATTTTTTATCTTTGTATCACATAAAATTATATATAACCACGAAATTTTCCAACTTCGGAAAGATTTTGGTTCCATGCTTGAAATTGATAAAATACTCAAATACTAAAAATACTTAAATATTAATTTTTTCTCTCGAAAATCTCCTGGTTGTAGAAGGCAGCACGGAGGAAACTGAAACGTCGAGCATAGCTGGTGCAAAACCATACAATAGGCTGGGTGAGGACTTGCTGAGAATGTTCTTGGAGGAGATTAATCCTGACATTACGATAGACGTGGCCGGCCGGCATATAAGGGCGCATAAATGTATATTAAGTTCTCGTTGCCAATACTTTGCTGCAATTTTGAGCGGCGGATGGATCGAGAGTGCAGGCAATGTTATTTCTCTGCAAGGGTATGCGTCAAAACTTAAAAATATATAATATACCTCAAGAGAAAATTGTATATCCATAACAGAGTTTTGTATTGTTCATATACTTTGCATGTTTAGTTATAATATAATAGTTTAAATAGATACACTATGTCACATTGATATGAATCTTTCATTTTATATAATTATGATTAGATATACTGCATTTTCACATAAATGACTTTAACATTATCTATTGATATTTCTGTTGTAGGTATTCTTATAATGCAGTTCATTTTGCATTGTGCCATATCTACAGTGGAGAAAGTAATATACCAGATTCTATAAGTATTGTTGAATTGGCGACGTTAGCTGATATGTTGTGTTTGGAAGGTCTCAAAGAAGTTATAGGATACACGCTTAAGCTTAAATATTGTCACTTGTTTCATAAGGTAAGAATGTTTTTATATCGTTTCTTTTGTGCTAAAAAACAGTAATAGTATCAATATGCGAGATGTTTTTGAAATGTGCAGCTAGGTACACAAGCAGTATAGCTAGGTATACAAGCTAGGTATACAAGCAGAAACTTGTGTTATATCATTTAATGTTTGAAATAAATTAATTGCTATTAAATATAATAATAATAAATATAATGAATTTTTAATTTTTAATGTGCAGAATGAAGCAGAAGTTTCATATCACATATATTTTCTGGATTATTATACTTTTGGATGTTTTTACCTTTCAGCCTTGCCAAATATGTGCTGTTGGAGTATTAGAATGTATGCCATTAGCTGCAGCTTATGGTCTGGATGAAGTATATCGAAAGTCACTTAGATGGATTACAAAACATTTTGTACGAATATGGCCATGCAAGGCATTTGCGACTCTCCCAAGAGAACTAATGGAAAAATGTTATCATCAGCATATAGTGCACATGGTATGTACATTGTAAAAAGACATAATTGTATTGATGAAATTATAAATAAAGGTGATTCACATCAGATAGTTCATTCCACAAGAAGTTGTTAACATTTTTCCTCAGCTGCAATCTTTCAACTGATACTGTAACCCAATTCTTCATAAATAAGAGTTACAAAAGTATAATGCTGCTTTTTTGTAGATGCATATAATATATTTATATTGCAGTCTGCCGACAATATACTTCAAACTATGATGGATTGCGACAAACTGTTAGCGACTCTGCCAAACGTGAGATGGGCAGAGCCAGTATTTCGGATGGTATCGAATTTATTGGAAACATCGATCAAATTCCTATCGGAGAACTTTGCAGGCGTTCTGGGAAATGAAAATTTCCAGTCGCTTGGTCGCGAAATGACATGGAACATTAGTCGTTTGGAAGATAATTTTCTAGCGGCCATCGAACAATTGCCACCCGAGCAAGCGTGTAAAAGTTATTCGAAACTAAATAAAATGTTACTTGCATCACAGACGGACGATCCTCAAGGAAGGATTAAGTGGGGATCGCTATTCATCGATTTTCTGCGCAAGCTTCAAGCTCGCGTGGAAAAATGTTTGGTGCGCGACGCAGCACGCGCTGCGAGAACTACCATATGGCTGAAAATGGATTTAGAACTTCGCAGAAGGATACAGGAGTTAGCTTGCCTCGTGATCTTGCCTCATGAGACCTCAAAGCATCTATCCAGACATTCAAACTTTTTGAAGGCAAGTATTAATTTCTATAAAAAGACCCAAAATATAATATTGACTATTGACTGAATATTGGAGTCTCTTTGATATTATCATCTCTATATATGCAGCATTTTTTGTCTAATAAAATTTTTCATACTCTGTCTCTGTATATCAAAGGAACCTCAGGTACCGCCTAATCGCTCGATGATAAACCGCAGCTTAGATCTGAAACGCGTAAAAATGGCAATTTCGGAACATAATGACAAAACTTTGAAGCAGATACCATCGTCCAAGCAAACAAAGAAAGTTTTAGGTAAGCCAAAAACGGATCCGCTTGAGCGTAAAATGCAAGAGGATAAGCAAGTTGTTTCTGAAACTGCCAGACCGAAATCGTGGCCTAATAAGATAGAGGTATGTATGCAATTTTTGAAAATTATTAATAACTCCAATATTTTTAGAAATCAATTTGAAATTTATATATTTTAAACAATTTATCATTAAAATAATATATTTAAATAATTATATAGGTAAAATCTAGATACTTGGAACCAAGAAACAAGTCTGTTCCAAAAGAGAATGTGCCCACGATGCATCACGATAAAATCGTGCAACAACGGCGCAAGATTATGATTTCTTCTTCTGATTCATCGCGCACTTCCAGCCCAGCGATGAAACGCGCGATCGATAAGAAGCCGCTGTCTAAAATGAAGCTGCCGGTCAAGAAAGATGTGAAAGCTCTTTCGTCAGACAGCTTAACAGAAGCAAACGCTTCTGGTCGAAGTGGCGGTAGCAAGAAAGACTTGATCAGCAAGAGCTGCGGTATCACAAGACCCGAATCACCTTCCTTCAAACAAAAAACCACCGAAATAGGATTATCGATCGATTCTTTGGAGACCAAAAGTAAACCGGCCGTCGTCAAAAAGAAGACCAACAAAATGGATACGTCAATGTCTACTGACAGTCTCATGACGGAGATAACGGCAACCCCAAAGTCCAACGCGTCCAACAAATTGTCACCTACCTTAGTAAAAGCTACAAGCAAAACACAGACTTACGATAGGTGAGATATAATTTTAAACATTTTGATACTACTTTTTAATAAAGCAATTTGCAATAAACGCATTAATTCGTCAATTATTTGCTTGAGACTAAATTTTCTGTAATGTTTTTAAAAAAATTGATTTGTTATGATTCTATTAATTGTCGCAGCTTCACTTCATTTGTATTCGATTCTTTGGACCATGTATTAGTAATTGAATTTGTTGATTCAAATGATAGAACGAAAAAAAGTTCGCCACCAACACAACAGAGAAGTCCATTGACAGCCATCAAAAGACCTCAAAGATCACTGGAAAGTTCCACTGCTGCCAGTCGTAGCAGAGCTGCTGCCATCAGCAGCACATATTACGGTTCACCAAGTTTGCGCAGGAACTTATTAGATGCTGCAAGGACGCCGGACGTTTCCGGCAAACCGATGAACACAGTAGCTCCTTTCAGGACGCGACAGATCACACAGACAAATACTCCTCCCAACATGAGGAGAGAAAGGAAGGAGACGCAAAACTCGCAGAGCTCTGACAGCCCCAGCAAGAAATCCTCTCCAAAGTCTAATGCCACTAATAGGATCAACAAATCAACAATCACTGGTAAGAGAATTGCCAGTAGCAAGGTCGATGACAAAGTTAAAAGGTGCCATAACGGGGAAGCACAGAAGCAACCCACAGTAGGTTCGAGATCCGGTACGTTTCTTAAAGATGAACCTACAATACTTAAAAAAGTGGACATTAAATCATCGCAAATTAATACTTAATGCTATTAATAGCTGGATAATCTTATCGATAAAATACGCATTGTTGATATATATACATATATATATATTTCCATTTGCTGCACATTATGCATTTATTGATATTGCAAGAAAAAGTTTTGTTGATATTCTCTTTAATTGCATCGTAAAGATTCCTGAGATATCAAATATTCTTCAAATTATCTTGCATCTACATAGTTAAATGTTTATGCATAGTTACAAAACTGATTTATTCACTTTATGTGAAAGTGTACCTGAAATTAATATTACGTTTAATACTTCTGATAATCATTATGGATGCTATAATTTGTGTATTAATGTGCATTATTTATAACTCCCCATTTGCTATACATTTAATAAATTTAATATATGTCGACAATGCGTTAAGCATACGTATCTAAAAAAATCCAGATTGATAGAGATAATTGTCGCTGGTAATTGCAAACGTGATAATTCCAATAGAGGAATCGTGTTATATGTAAGATAGAGAAATGTAATTTTAATTTAAGGAAACTTGGGATTATCGTTAAAGGAATACACTCGAATTGCATTTATTAGTTAAATAAAAAATGTGCTATAATTATACCTTACGGCGATCATTCAAATAATAGAACAATTTTCAACTTTGAGTAAACAATTTTTAATATTTCCTGCTCTTCTAATAATAAAGTAATGTAGATCGGAAATTTTCTCATTGATGAGAAATCAAATATACAGGTTATTCCTAAGAAAAATGTGTATCAATATCAAGTCTTCGTTCTTCATATAATCCGCGTATTCGTTTTTTGGTTAGAAAAAAATTTATTATTCAGAAATTAAATTCTCAAAACTTGCAAATTTTTTTTCGTTTAATATTAGAATTGATAGTTTAAAAATTTTGATTAGTTTTAGATAATTCTAATGATCTTTACCATTAAGTATAAAATCACGACACAATAAGATTAATAAACTAATTATTGGTATATAACGAAAGATTTCATAATGATATTTTAAAAGAAATTTTGTTGAGAAGTTTATCCAACAACAAAGACTTGTAATCAGATTGCACTTTTCTCGGATTACTCTGTGTATTGCACAATTAGAATATAAGTAAATAAGTATGATGACATTGATTATGAACGGATGTGTACTTAAATGAACAGAATCTCTCTCTTGACTACATGTATACATTAATGTCTCGTAGTACTGCACACATGTGGCGTTTCATAATCTATAGATAAAAGAACATGGCCAGTTACAATTTGTTTAGATAGCTCTTCCATCTTACCGCATAAATATGTCATATGATTCCGAATTATTTTATAATAAATAAATGCCATTTCAGTAGATGCTGTTTAATTATTACTAATTGAGGTTGCCATTTTATGAACTAATTAATTCCGACTGCAAGTAGCATCCACTTCACTTGCAATCATTTATCGATGAATTGTATGTATAACCAATGTATTTATTTATTAAATTTCTATTTTGCAATGTACATTTTTACGCAATATTTGTATCTAGTCATTTATATATATTTTAATTATTTACCTTTGTGTAATATTAATAAATATGTCAATATAATGTTAAATGTTTTCATGCAATTTCTCACACCTATTATATATTCTTCGGAAAATATTTTATATAAATTTCTAATACCCAAACAATAATGTTGACATCAAAAATTTCTTTTAAACCATTTCTTTAAGGCTTATATCAACTATTAGATATTTCATTTTTATAATTGAGGTCGCAATTTTTCCGCATTTTGAACTTATCAAAAAAAAAATATATAATCTTCATTCATGACAATATATAACAAATGAATTAATTTATTTTAATTAAATATATAAATATATAGTAAATTATATATATTGTACATAATTACAAGACTCTCCAAATTCACTGATGAATCCAAATTATGGTATTCACAGAAATTCAATGAAAAATCAAACATCCAGTAATGTTCCTCTAGGTCTTGCCCGCTTTGAATCAGTTTCAGTGGATGGTATAGATTTTCGTTTATTCATACCTTTTCGTTCCAACTGTTTCTCTATGATGCGTGCATTGTTTGCATATGAGTCAGCAACTTCTCTCTGAAATTATAAGTATTTTATAATATTTACAAAAGATTGTTTCATTGCTAAATAATAAAGAATATTAATCAGATTAATCAAAAACAATAATATATGATTGAAACAACATTTATAAAAATGGACAAATATATATTGCATATTCAAATATATAATTAAAATTAAAATATATAAAAATTTTAATATCCAACTTCTAATATTTATCTTGTTATAGTTGTCATATGATACATTTGATACTCTTTTAGTTTTTGATTCTTATATTATAATTTATAAATATATATATAATACAAATTCAATTATGATTTACAGCTTCAATTTCATCCTCTTCCTCATCAATCGTGGACACAGTAACAGAGCTGAACTTTCCCATATTCTTGGTATGCTTTGTAACCATTATTTTTTTAGGTTTCTCAATAGCCACTTGATTATAAATGTCAGTCATGGGACCATCGCCAGAATTTTTTATTACTGAGTCTTTTACTATAAATACTATATTTGCTCCTGGATCATGCTTATAGTATAGCAATAAGCCACATCTGTCATAAACAGAAAAATTACATTAAACAAATTAAACATTTAATCTGTAAATCTTGGAGAATATATTTTCAATGTTTCTGCATCTAAATACACACACAAAATGAATATAGACACAAAAAAGAAAACTTTGTACTTTTTACACTTTTGCCTATACTGTTTTTCTATTCCCTCTGGACGCTTGAGAAATACAATCTCATCTCGCTCTGAAGTCATTTTATGAGCATGTTTACTGCCATCAATTACTCTTGCTCCATCTCTTTTCCTTAGTGGCAATTTTTCAATTGCACAATCTACAAATAAAAATCAACATGATTTATAAATATTTGAGAGTAATTCATATTTTTTTTATTATCAATATGACATTGTATTATAAATAATATTAACATTAATTTAACACATTTCAAGTACTATGTATTTGAAAATAATTCTTTTATGAAATATTTTCCGAAACATGCACAATGTAAAACCGACATTTTTTGTTGCAAAGTACTTTCTCGGATTAATAAATATTATATGTGATTGCGTTAATACAATTCTAACCTAGAATTAGTGTCATCTGACCACATAAACAATAATAAATATGCAACGGCTTCTCCTCACTATATTCTTCCTGATCTTTCGTATCGGAGCATATGATGCTCCTCGATACTACTTTTGGCATAACTTAGTTAATTATTTATTCACTTCAAATTTAAAAATTTTATTTTTTTTTTACTCTGTCTCTACCATAGACATAGTATATCTAGACCGAACGTTTGCCTTTATTTAACGAGGTGCACGTAGAAAAAGACATACTCTGTTTCGTGCCCCTTGCGTTCTCTCTCGCTCGCACAGAGCATAGCGCTCGTCTGGACCTTTTTTTGGACTCCCTCCTCTTTAGAGGAATTTTGCTTATATTTCACAAACCCATAAGAAACAATGGTGTATGGGCGACTAATGCCCAACCAGCCATAAAAGAAAGAAGAAGAAGATGTATATAAAACGCAAGTTCCGACTGACAACGTGTTGGGTTCGGACGTGTTTTTACGTTCTGCGTATGTCCTTTGTCTGGACCTTTTTTTTTGGACTTCCTCCTCTCTTAAGAGGAGTTTTTGCTTATATCTTACAAACCCATAAGAAACAATGGTGTATGGGCGACTAATGCCCAACCAGCCATAAAAGAAAAAAGAAGAAGAAGAAGTAGGGCACAGTCTTTGACTATATACCTATGGACTGCTAATAGGCAGCCATAGTCATGGTGTAAGTAACAAGGTGTGCTATTGCGCATTTCTACTGACCAATAAGAGAGCGTGACAAGATTCCGCCATCTTGTATAATTTAAATGGATATTAAAACAATTCGATAAAACGATCGATAAATGGATATTAAAGATTCGGGCAAGAAAGGGTTTTAATGAAAGATCTTTTGTGTGTAATTATAATTATAGTGAATATATTTTTAGAAAATAATAAATACAAACACATAAATATAAATAAACAAATATAAGACACATAAACACATATAAGAAATAATAAACATATAATAAACGATAAAGAATACATAACACATAATAAACGAACAATAAACATATAATAAACGATAGAGAATACATAACACATAATAAACGAATAATAAACGAACAATAAACATATAATAAACGATAGAGAGTACATAATAAACAAACAATAAACATATTATTATTATTTATTTATTTATTAATCCTTGCCTTTCGGCTTAGGATGGCTTCCAGTTTACATTCGCTTCCTATTTCTAAATTCTTTGTTCTTTGCATTGTTACCTTAACAGCTAAATTAAACTCAAATCAAAATCACAATCAAAATCAAAATCTCGATATAGATATAAACGTAAACATAAACATAAACATAAACATAAACATAAACATAAACATAAACATAAACATAAACATAAACATAAACATAAACATAAACATAAACATAAACATAAACATAAACATAAACATAAACATAAACATAAACATAAACATAAACATAAACATAAACATAAACATAAACATAAACATAAACATAAACATAAACATAAACATAAACATAAACATAAACATAAACATAAACATAAACATAAACATAAACATAAACATAAACATAAACATAAACATAAACATAAACATAAACATAAACATAAACATAAACATAAACATAAACATAAACATAAACATAAACATAAACATAAACATAAACATAAACATAAACATAAACATAAACATAAACATAAACATAAACATAAACATAAACATAAACATAAACATAAACATAAACATAAACATAAACATAAACATAAACATAAACATAAACATAAACATAAACATAAACATAAACATAAACATAAACATAAACATAAACATAAACATAAACATAAACATAAACATAAACATAAACATAAACATAAACATAAACATAATATAATATAAATATACATCTCAATGTAACCTAGGTATTATAGTTTTTGCTTTTCTTTTTGCACTGCCCTTTATATCCTCCATTCTTCTGTAAAATGTATCCTAAATACTTTATCTCTTTCACTTCCTCAATCTTTTCCTCCCTCCACGTCCAGCTCCTCTCCTTCTTCTTTCCTCTTCCTTTTTCGAATACCATCACCTTCGATTTTTCTGCGCTCAGTGTTAATTTCTTTCTTTCCAGGTATTTTCTAAACCTTTTTATCATGTCTTTCAGCTCTCCTTCCGTTTCTGCCAACAAAACGATGTCATCTGCATACATTAGGGACCAAACTTTTTCTCTGTTTACCTTTATTCCCCCGATCTGTCCTCTTCTCATATCCTCTTCTAGATTCCCTATATAGATGTTGAACAGCGTTGGGCTTATGGGACATCCTCGTCTGACTCCTTTTTCCGTCCAAAAGATCTCACTTTCTTCCTTTCCTATTCTAATTGTATTCTTCGTTTCTTTATAAATCTCCATTATTCTGTTTCTTAGCCTGTTGGTTATCCCTGTCTTCTTCATTCTCTTGTTTAAGATTTCTCGGTCTACCTTGTCAACTCGTATCCAACAGCGTAACTCCTCTATAATTTTTGACCTCCTTAGTGTCTCCTTTCTTAAATATTGGGTATATAACCCCCTTCTTCCAATCTTCTGGCATGCTTTTTTCTTCCCACACTTTCTCCAAAACTTTGATTAAAGGCTCTTCTATCTCTTCCTTCATATATATCCACGCTTCGTTGTTGATCCCGTCCTCTCCTGCTGCTTTCCCTCTTTTTAACTTTTTCACCTGTGCTTTCACCTCTGCCCTGTCTATCCCTCCATTACTCCTTTCAATCTCCTCCTCCTTCTCCTTCTCCTCCTCCTCCACTTCTTCTTCCTCTTTTCTTCTCGGTTCCATGCCCGTCTTTTTTCTGTTCCTTCTAGCATATCCATAAAATGTCTTTTCCACTCTTTTATGTCAGTTGTGCTCTGCAATCTGTTCCTCTTCTTCCTAAACTTATTAATGTATCTCCAGGCCTCCGTCTCTGTCTTAATTTTTTCTATTTTCTCTTCTTCCTCCTTTTCTTGTCTCTTCCTTTCTTCTTTACACCACCTCTTATATTCCTTCTTCTTCTTTACATACTCTTCCCTAGACAACTTTCTTTTCTTCCATTTTCTTAGTTCCTTTCTTAGTGACCTTTTCTTTTCCTTCCATTCTGCGTTAAACCATCTCTTTTTTCCTAAGCCTCTTCCTTTCTTCACCTTTATCTTCTTTGTGGACTTATTTATCTTGTTCCTTATCTCCTGCCATAGCGCCTCCTTTCCTGTCTCATTATGCCTTCAGCCCTCGATTTCCTTGCGGTAGAATTCTATCCCCTCCTGTAACCAATCACATTTGACCACTGCCTCCTTTTCCTCATCCTCTTCTCTTCCTCCTACTGTTGGCTCCAATTCTTTATTAACCGCCACCACCAGTCCTCCTTTTGCTCTTCCTTTCCTGTGTTCCCTCGTGGCTGGCACATATGACCACCTAAACTTTTTCGCTAAATTCTTCTCTAATGTTGTCCATCCTTTTTCGTCTAACCATGTTTCTGTTAACCCTACTATATCAAACTTTTCCACGAATTCCCACACAACCTCGCACTTGTTGTTTAGGCCTGCGACATTCCAAAAACATATCTTTAGACCTCCTTGACCTCCTACTCCCTCTTCTCCTCCTGCACCGCCATCCCATCCGTGCTCCTCTCAGGCTCTTCTCACTTCTTCCTCTTTTAAGCTTCCTCTTCTTTCATCCCAACGAAACCACTTTCCCTCTACACATAGCTTGAAATATCCTGCTTTCGCCGATTTTCCGTTTTTCTTGTGTTCCCATGCTAGCTCTTTCAGCCTCTTTTGTACTTCTCTCTCCTTCCAGGTTAGATTGTCTTCTATGTATATTCCTCTGTTTAACTCCTTCTTTTTCTCCATTATCTTCCTCTTATCCTCCCATTCCTCCAATTTCACTAGTATTATCTTGTTTCCACTTCCGCCTCTTCTCGTATTCAGCCTTTGTGCGCTTCGGACTTTTGTTTCCACATTTAGTTTAACTGTCAGAAAGTTTTCTACCCCGCCTTTCAGCTCTTTCTCTTCGAAATTATACCCTCTGATTATTATGTTCTTTCTCTTCTCTTCTCTGTCCCTTCTTTCTTTTTTCCATTCCAGTTTCTCTACTCTCTCCTGTAAATCCTCTTTTCTTTTCTCCATTCGTCTCTTTCTTGTCGTATCATCTGTTCCCACTCTTTTCTTTCTTCTTTCATTTCCTTCTTTAGGCTTCCTATTTCTTCTCTAAACATGCTTAGCCATTCTTCTTTTAGTATCTGCATCAGCTCTTGCATCGTGCCCTCCTTCTCTTCTGCCCTCTCTGTTCTTTTCTTCTCTCCTTTATCTTCTCTTAACATTGCATCTAGTGTATTCTCCTTTATCTTATTCTTGCTGCCTGCCGGTCTGCCTCTTAGCGCCATCTATCGTGTCTGATATCCCCTTCTAACCGCTTTCCTTACCTCTCTCTCGCACTTTTCCCTAGCCACTATTCTGCTCTACTTCTAACCTCAATCTCTCACCTTTTTCTTCCACTATTATCCGGCCACTCCGATCACAACTTCTCGAGTCCTTTATCTTTCCTTTCTCTTCTTCCTTCTTACTCTCCTCTTCCACTTTTCTATGTCTCCTATCCCCTTTTTTAACTTTTTATTTGCTTATCTCACTCCGAGTCTCCCTCCCACATGTGCACTCTTTCACCGTCCACCCGGAAGTCAACAATAAACATATAATAAACGATAGAGAATACATAACACATAATAATATACAAGATATAATAAAAATGAAATTACTTTCTATTTGTGAATTTTGTCATTTTTCTTTTATGTTTTATTCTATTATTTTCTGCCGAAATTTTTTTATTAATTATTCGAAGTTATATGTATGATCTTGTTCTAGCTAAACATAATAAAACCTCACGCGGGATTATTATATTTTTCATTTTTTTTTCAACTCCATCAGCGACTGTTTTAAATATCCACGGGTCTTTCCGCATGAAGGATCCATGGTAATCTTGGAATTCTTCATTCATTATTTTTGCCACCTTGAATAAGTCTGAAGAAGGACTTATAATTTTCCCTATAGAAATGTAGTTAATCCAGTCATTTTCTGGATTAACCAACGTCTCAGTAGGAGTACCTAAATTTTTATATTTATTTATAAATTTAAAAGCGGCATAACCCGCAATATATTTTAGGCCTTCATTTTCTACGATGTTCACAACTTCTTCTAAATTTTCTACTTGGCTCAATAAA